CTTCAGGGGGTGGAAGGCTGCTGGCCTCTTGAGGTGAGGGGTTGGGGTGCCCTCATAAACGACTAGGCAAGCCACTATTCACAGTGGTGTTACTCAAAGTCACTTGTTCCATCTCTAGTGCTAGTCGCTCATCATGACGGCATCATGGTGCACTATGATGTGCTGTATTACTATTACATAACGCTTGTGTTGTGCTAGTAGTAGCAGGAATGGGTCTGCCGAGGCCCCAGCCTTAGTAGCTAGGATGATACTACCTGTTTTTCAATCATGTGTCCTCCCCACTAGTAGAACTGGATCATCTGTAATATCTCATCGGGTGTTTGCATCAGCAGCAGCAGCACGCTGTTTGATCCGCCGACCGTACTCTACTCGACGTGGTAGGTCCCCAGCTACCATGCTACCCTTGTCGTACCAATATAGGTGCCAACCTTCCAAAATGGAATGATCAGCGAGGTACATCTATGGGCCTTGGAAGATCCAACGCCCTAACACCCTATCTAGGAGCTAGTACTGCATTGTTACGGAAGGTGAGGGGTCATCGTCATCATCAGTATCCAACTCCCTATAGGTTGATGTTGACCGGTTCCTGGGTCATCCTAGTGGTCGTCGTCAGCAGCAGCAACAGCTGATCAGACTATATCGTTCGTCCTCCCAATACAACAACATACAGCCATCTAACGGGGGGAAGCCCTCTGGTCATTGGTGGTCTAAGGTCCTAGGTGTATCCGCAGCAGGATACGCTGTGATGAAGCTGAAAGGACTGAAGATTCTTATACCAGTACTCAAGTTCTCTAAGGCTGGGCCCTTGCTTAGCATGTGTGTATCCACGTTGGCCTATGGGGCTGTATTTGGATGGCAGTAGGGCATTCATCATCTTTCATTAGGTATCATATCCATATCAGGTTCGGCACTGGTATGGTAGGTTTGATATTCATCCATGAGCTTGGTCATGCACTGATGATGCGGAACCTTGGTGTACCTGCGGGGCCTATGGTATTCATACCTTTTATGGGGGCATCAGTAGAGATGCGCAAACACCCTTCTAATGGTGATCTACCACTCTATTAGTCGCCCCTTCGAAACCATTCTTCTCAGCATATCAAGAGGCGCTGATAGCTCTAGCAGGCCCTGTCCTCGGCTCCCTTGGTGTTCTCCCTATTGCTGCCTATGGAGCTGCTACAGGTGTTGCTGCTGCTGCGCTCCCCTCCATATCATTGACCCTACTCTAGACCATTATAGGTTCACAGCTAGCCTTCGCCTTATCCCACTTCGGGTATATGATAAACCTGTTCAATCTCCTACCTATAGGCCAACTAGATGGTGGTCGAGTCGCTGGTAGCCTCAACAAGTGGTTCCTACCTGCAGGTCCTAATCAGTGTCCTAATCAGAGTCCTCTTACTCACTACTCCCATAATAGGTCTGGGTATATGCGGAAGTATGATATACTTTACATCCTATTGCTCACCGATCATGTATCTCGTTTTCCTTGGTGGTGCCTATACAACGTAGCATACTCATCCATCTATATCTCTCGACACCAGCTCTATATTCAGGTATCAACGCTTCTTCGGTACTGGCGATATGCCACCCTACTACTATAACATGAGTAATGCTCAGAAGGCCTGTATATCAGCAGGGTACGGCTAACCCCGGCTAACAGTGTTTTAGGATTTGTTGTAGTTACTTTGGGCTCATTGCTGCCCTCATGTATGGTATGTACGAGAACGACAAGCAAAGGAAGAGCCCTAAGCAGCTACAGAGGGAGCTAGGCATCAACCTAGGGGGAGGCTCCTGGGGGCAGTCCCTTATCAACCACGGTGAGGGTACAGTTGGAGGACATAGTCGTGGTGGGCAACATAGTGATGAGGTACTGCTAGTATCACCCCAATGCCTTCGGTCAATCCTCCTCCTCCTCCTCTTCAGTACGGTGGCCTTTGGTATGATGATGATGATTATGGTTGGAATACTTCCCGTAACCATACGTGGTCTACCTCGTCCTCTGCTACAGTAACAAGAGAGACTTATGATCCAGTCCTCGGCTGGAGGAGGACTACTACAGTATACGATGGTTCACCGCATCCATTTAACACAGGCTCCTCCTCATCTGGTCCCCTTATCTGATAACTATAATACACCAATCTTCACCCTTCCTGTTGCCATTATTTTCTATAGCCATATTCATCCCGTTGTGTTGAGTCCGGGTTAATTACTCATCGTCATCATCAGGCTAATCGATAATAGTCTCCGCCTGGCCTATAGCTCCCTATTAGAGCCTATGAGAGGACGTACTATCTTCACCTGCATCTAGTCGTATATAGCTTGTGTCCTTCAGTCGGGGATGTCCTTGGATCCTTGGATACCCATCCCACTAATCTACCATACCAGGCTCAGCCTGGCGAGCCAGGGGTAGAAGAAGCTCAGGCCTCGTCATCCAGGCCTGGAAGCACATCGTCTCATTCGCCGGTCACCGATACTATGGCGACCAACCATCACTTCCCACAGTTGGACATAGCTAGTATATTAGGCCAGAGTAGATAGGCATCGAGGGGCTGCTGGATAATGAGGACTACAATGTAGGTGCCTCTCGAGCGTTGAGTGATAGGAGCTATGAAAAGAGGAGTATAGCAGCACATGAGGTGGAATCACGTATCAAGCAGGCTTTGCAGCAGAGGGATTACTACGGTCAAGAGCACGCTGCAACAACAGCAACTATAGTATCTATTATAACGGTAGTGATACTGTATCAGTGAATATGTCTACTGTCCCCCCCCCCTACCCTACTACTATCAGGTCCTCACCTCCACCAACTTCACTAAGTCACCCTATCCGAACGCACGTAAAGGAGGACTACTAGGACTGGCTAGTGTTGCTATTGCACTTGAGAATAGGAACCTCGACCCATTCCTCGATACCATCATGGCACCGGTAGTAAGCCTGTAATACTGTAATCAACACACTGTTAATAGGTATTGTATTTATTCGATGATGATGATAATAGATGCCGATACTATGCCTGTGAGGCTATGTTTAATATAAGCAAAGTTGCTAGAGGCTTGTTGCTCAAAGGGCGGAGGATGTGTCTGGTGGGTTGTTGTTGTTGCTGCTGCCCTAGGGGGTATCAAGGCGACTATCGTCGATGGCAGGCATTGGATGGAGTATGCAGACTGGTGGCTGATGTAGATCAGGAGGTTAAGTCCGGTGCCCAGTACTTGGATAGGCTTCTCAAGGACATAGTCTCCGATGTTAGCAATAAACCCTTTATTGTACGAGAGCTTCCAACAACCCAACAGGAGAAGGAGGAGGAGGAGGATGTACATGATCATGATTATCATTGTAGCAGATGCTATTACTACCGCCCTTACCATCAGTTACTACCCTCATCCTCTATTACTGCATCCCAATCGCCTGAGCTCTATGAATCTTCGTATTTGCCTGAGGGCTCTGTCACCTCAACAAGCTGTGATCCCCTGCCCGGGACTACCAACAACTGTGACATTAATATCGTGACAACACCACAGTCCCCGGCCCTCCCCGAGGACCCACAAGGTCAACGTTTGATGCATCTACCATCGACCTCGACTACTGATCAGCAGGATCCTCATGGTACTCCATCCTCTGGCAAGACCTTGTTACACTACCAATCAGGTCTCTTTGATTTGGGTGCGTTCATTGGGCGTATAGCAGCTCATCTCCGCGTAGTGAACCTCTTTATCAAGCAGTTGGCTATGTCCTGGATATCAGTCAGTTCTTACTACTACTACTAGTCATCATCGTTACTACTCTTAGTAGCAGGTCTTGCATTCATTGCCGACTACTAGGGATCTACTATTGCTCCATCTACCCCTCTTCCTCGGCACACTCTTCTACCTCCAACGTGATCCCTCTCGTGGGGACCTACGTCACACCGCCGACCAAGTGATAATAATTCTGACAATAATCAAAGGAGGCAGCTTTGGTATTGTAGGTCCTTGGTGAGCTCCTAGATGATTTGACGTCCACGTCGTCTACGACAGTACTGACTAAGATGGGCAATGGCAAACCCCCTATGCCTCCCCTAACTAAGCTTAGAGCCATTGTAGCCAAGAGCGTGAGGCCACCTCCACCCTCCATCACAAGATGCTGTTATTGTAGGTATCGACGGTGGTGTCCAACTGTTCCTCCACGGAACCTTTGAGCCGATTAACAGCCATGAACTGGCTATTGGCTTTCCTCAACACTCCTGGTCTACTCCTGCCCAGCCTACCGACCGAAGCAGCGGTATGCGCTATCCTCTCAGTGCGTGCTACATGTCCTCACAGTTACTATCGATGCCCGAAGAAGAATACGACACTCCTCGTATGACCATGGATGCCAATGCAGCAGCTAACCTGAGAGCCCTCCTACCACTAC